CATGACATTTTAAAGCACAAATCCACCGTAAAGTAGGGCTGGGCAACGATTAATCACGATTAATCGCATCCAAAATATACGTTTATGTTTAGATAATATATGTGTAGTGTGAATAACTATTTTGTATATATAAACACACACATGCATGTATATTTTAAAAAAAATGTGTTGTTAATACATCAAATATTTATATTTTTATATAGTATTACTTCAGTATAAATACATATAAAGTACATACATAAAATATTTCTTAAATATATACATGCATGTGTGTGTATTTATATATGCAAAATAATTATACACACCACACACACATGTATTATGTAAACAGAAACTTTTATTTTGAATGCGATTAATCGCGATTAATCGTTGCCCAGCCCTACCGTAAATCTCATTATATTAACGCAAATAAATATATATTTTAAATATTTATAAACTATTAGCATAAATGTTCATCTACGCTGAAAGTATAAGCTGTATTTACCGTTGATTTAAATAAACTGTATAACAATATTTTTATATACATACAATATTTTAATACCATGAAAAAATACTTTATTAATGAGAAACACACATCAACATTGAGGAAAAGAAAAAAGAAGTCCACTGCCAAAACGAAAACAATGCGCTTAATAATTAACATAACAAAAATTGAATTGCTCTAAAATAGGCTTACTTGCAAAAATATTTTATTATCGACTTTATCTGTAAGATTCATGACGATCAGCGAAAACTCTTCGTAACGAAAAGGCTGAGAGGAGCCAATTCATGTTTCTGTCCCGTCATAAAGTTCAGGTTTGACATTTACAGTGAAAGATTACTGTATGCAAGCAAAGTGACACGGATTACACACTTCTGCAAAATATCAAGGAATGGCAATTGACAACGTTTACTCAACCGATGTAAACCATTGTAGATAGATAGATAGATAGATAGATAGATAGATAGATAGATAGATAGATAGATAGATAGATAGATAGATAGATAGATAGATAGATAGATAGTCTACACATCTTGCAATCTCTACTGCAGTGACAGCTATTTTATGAAATATAGTGAAAGATAAGCCCAGATCTCCATGATGTTTGGTGATCCAGCTCACCTCTAAAGATCTGCGGTATAAAAAAATCTTCTAGGGCTTATTAACAACTTTATAAACTGATAAAAGAAGTGAACATGCCAACCAATCTAGGAAACACTTATTGCCCAGCCATTAATGCAAAACACTGCCACTGATTGATGCCCTGGCCCTAATCTATATAACCAGCTATTTAGAGATAACCTTTCCTAATAGTTTTGACTGCAGGTCACCAAAAACAACTGGTCAGAGTGAAATCTACTCATGGGATGTGGTGAGATATTGTGACTACCAGACTGCTGAAGTAAACCAGACCATGGAAACAGGGCACAGAGGCACAGTGCCACTGAACCAAAGCAAGAAGTTGGCACAGACAAGTGAAGTGATGTTCAGAGCTGCTTGTATTTGGTGGGTCAGTCCACAACGAATAGACAGTTCTGAGATGCACAAGAGCAGTTGCTTCTAAAAGGACAGAAAAAAAGTGGAAGCCTCAAAAATTGTACAGTCCACATGAGTGCAGATGATGCAGGTTCGTGATCTGATGAACCTAACACACTTACAAAATACACAAGCAACTGACACAGACCCAATGCATTCCAGAACACCAATAAAACAAAAACAGATGAAGAACAAGCTTTCCTCGTGATTTACTCATCCACCCATCAAACGTACCTAAGCAGTCAGAAATGTCTTGGAGACATTAAGAGTAACGTTACGGTTACATTATTATTATTATTATTTATTTATTTTTTTTTACTTTTTTTTTACTTTTAGGTACACAGATATTAAAAACTCTGTATAAGAAGTGTTTTTGGACCTAAGCCTCATTTATTTGACATATTTACTTGTGCATATGAAACAACCAAGCGAACCGGATCTAAACTTGAGCAGGATAGGCAAGAAAAAAAAAACCTTCAAATATTCAATTTACCTTGATGTTTTCGATGTGAGGAGCTGATATGGGTGTTTTAACCGTCTTTCCTCCTTCAAGGCCTCTTGAAGCAGCAGAAAAATAAAAATAAAGACACAAAATCTGTTTTTGGCCTTAAAAACTGCCAAACCCACAGCAATAATCCCATCAAACACTCAAATTTCCGACGATAGAAAAAGATCCAGCTGAAATATAAACATCCCCGGGAATCTCTTTATGTCCACACACCGCGACTATAGGTTATTTGTATCCAGAAAATATGTTTTATTGGGGAATATCGGTCCCTTTTTCGCCCTATTGTCAATATTACTGGGCTGAGTCCATGGCACACATAACACGGACGCGCTCTAGCCTGCTGGGCCGGGTTTGGGCCTACAACGCCACGCCATTGGTCGGTTTGAAGATTCCTCGGAACGTGATTGGGCGATGTACGTGGCAATCAACAGCCAGGGGAGGGAAAAACTCCAAGGCTTCTCTAACGATGAATAGAGAAGTTGGGTTGAATTGTGTGCGAACAGGAAAGAGAGTCACCTCACTAGAATGTCTTCTTGATCTACTATTTCATTACAAAAAAAAAAATAAATAATAATAATATTAATAATAAAAATTAAAAAAAAATAAAATAAATATAACTATTCGTATTCTGGATACGTTGGGCATACTACGTTTATCAAGGCACTTATATTGTGAAAAGCGCTACACACAAAAAAAAAAAGATTGAATTTTTTTTAAATAAATAATAATAAATCTTTATTCAGAATGGGGAATTTTTTTTTACCAATAAAAAAAGAGAGGAAATAATCGATCTCTTCAGGAATGAGGTTAAACCTGTATGTGAGAGCCCAACCCTAGGAGCGTCTCATGCCAAAGAGGCCACCTGGCGAGAACTATCAGCACATCGCATGAGCAATAGGATATGGTACTTTTTACGTTCAGCAGCGGTTTCATGTGCACTGTGCAGTGTATTTTTCAGGAAACGAGTGACGAGCACGAGCGCGTATGTACAGTACGTCAACGCGTAGGCTATACGAAGAATGACAATGGCTATTTGCGCAACTTAAGGGCTCAGGGCTGTTTCAATGCATTTCAAATATTCAATCAGTTTTCTGGGCTTTAAAACATTTGGAAAATAAAACCTATTTTTTAGTGTCTTTGTTTCATTATAAACGAACGTTAAAGGTTTTAAATCAATAAAAAATGTTGAAATATGTGTTATTTGATATTTAGACCAAAAGCAGTGTGTAATAAAATTAACTGAATTTTATTACATTTACTGTTTTTAACCTGCCCGTTATTAGTTTATAATATCATTTTAACATTTGTTTTAATTTTAATTAAATAAATATTTGCTGTGCAGGGGATTTTGGGGAGTATTTTTAATTTCACATTAAAGTCACAATTAAATCAAAATGTAAACGAAAATGTATGGAATAGTGAAGTTTTTAATATAAATGTTTGCTCTTATTATTATTACTTTAAAAGAGAGACAGTAAATAAGGATGTTTTGAAAATCTTTTATTTAAGGGCGTTCACAACACACACAAACCCCATTATCCACAAACCCCACGCGAATGACAGCTTCTCAATTTCGCTCAGCTGTCATTTCCTGTGCTAGATGCCAAATTCACATTATGTTTGTTTTGCAACATTGTTAGCCTAAATATTATCGAGGGTGAGGCGGTTTCCGAAAGCTAGGGTGGAGCTGTTGTGGATGTCTTATTCAGCATGAACTTCACCAGCAGGGCCGGCCTACTGGTGAAATAGGCTACTACAAAATAAAGAAAAACAACTCCAGAAAAACTTAACTAAGGCGCCCGGCTCCCTGGGGGAGTGCTTGAAGTGCGACAAAGCGCATTGTCTGGTGGCTCTGAAGAACTCCGTTAGCATAAATCTGTAAGGTAAAAATAAGTAGCCTAAAGTGATGTAATGAATGAACAGTTTATCTAATTGCATAGTAAGATACTATAATTTAATGGCGGTTATTTTTTACCTTACAGATGGAGTTCTTGACTTCAGAGCCCCCAGACAATGTGATTTGTAACATGTCAGTTTTTTTTTTTTTCGTGTGTGACGCATTTACTATCACTTTTATTATTTAATGTTTTATACAGTTTTGAGGGTGATATATGGCATTTTTATTTATTTATTTGCCAATATTATTAACGATATTTATTAGGCTCAGGTTTATTTAAACTAGCAATGTTTTATTTACAACAAATGTATTATTCACATTAAAGAAGACATTTCCCAGTTTCATTCATGTTGAAAACATGAAACGTGCCATAATTTAGTGGAAGATTGCTGCCATCAACTACCAAAAAAAAAAAAGTTTGCTAGTGCTCAATTAATAGTTTGTGCATGAATGACATTTTGACGATGACATCACTGTTTTATCCAGAGCGGCTATGAATTAAATAAATTATTATTATTTTTACAACAAAATAAACCATCACTGAACATACTGGATTATGACACTCTTTTCTTTTAGAGCTAGGAGAAGCAAACTTTGTTGCATTATTTATTCCCTGTTATCACTGTAAAGCAGTCTTAAAATAATCTGTATTGCAGGCTAAAAAGCACTAGATGTAATGCTCTTGCTATATACAGTATAAATATAAAATTTTTGTTACAGACTAAATAATCAACAACACAGTGATGGGTTGCAAAAACATGCAGTTTTTGATACTTTTTTGCTTTGAACATAATCACAATTTATGAGCATAACAAATGTAAACCCTAATGCATAGGAAGAACGCTGACATAGTATTGTTAAGGTTGTACTTTAGACCATTTTGCAAGATGTAAACAACACTGGTCCAGAATTACTTCCCATTTCATTTTGTAACCGTTTTCTTTATTTCACATGTAAAGAAAACATCTTAAAGATGTTTGTTTAACTTTTTGATTCAGTTTTATATGTTCTATTGGTTGTATTTTATCCAAGCTTTTATGTAGTGTTAAAAAACTGACACAGGAAGTGCTTCTGGACCAGTGTTGTTTACATCTTGCAAAATGGTCTAACAAAAAAATGTTCATTCAAGGTATTGAAGAAAAAAAAAAGTCTATATAATATGAATCCCCATTCACTAATTTAAATTGTTCTCAGATTTTGATTCACAATTTGTGTAATGAGTATGTCGGAGAGAGTTGGTTTTGAAATGAACACATTTTGGAAAGAAAAACGAGATGGTATAAACACGTAATACAATACAGGTGTTCAGTTTATGGTCAGTAAGAAAATTTTGGAGACAATTTTAGCTTTTTCACATCATGTGCTCTACCTCACAAATTAATTCTGAAATGCTGCTAACAAAACATAAGAAAAGTGATGTCCTTCACAGTTTTCATAAGAGTTTTTGCTGGACAAATAGACAACATTGTAATTCTTGTGTAGCGATTTGTTGTTAACTTGGTAACACTTCATTCTGATGGTCCCTTTTGAACATTCTACTGACTATAAGTAACTTTGCAACTAAGTGTATTCTAACCCTAACCTATGGTCAACAGAATGTGTTAAAAGGACCATCAAAATAAAGTGAAACCACAACTTGCATTTTAAAACCACAAAACACTGTTAAAACTGTATATTAACTATAAAAAGTTCTTAAAGTTCTCCATACTTTAAAAGCCCCTCCTCCTCCTATACTGTGTGATCATGCAAGTTTTGACCGGTCTTTCTTTGTAGCTTGTTTTCTGTGAGCTTTAGTTTTGAGCTGCATGGAGGAGATGCTTTTCAGAGAATCTTTCTTCCCCACTATGATTTCCTCTGCTCCCACCTTCCACTGCAACAACTGGCCATCCTCTCCGCCCGTCAACAGACATCGTGCGACCGCATCCCACTGGAAGCATCTCACTGTAGCTGAATGACCCCCTTTAAGGGATTTAATGAATTTCAGACCACTCCTACTGCAGTCCAGGAGGTGAAGCTTTCCATTATTACTCCCTCCGACTAAAAGAAGACGCTCCTCATCTGAAAGCCATGAACCGCCCACAAAGTACTCAAGTGAGGCTCCATCAGGGAGCTGGACAAGTGTTCGGGCATCAGCCGAACTCACAAGGGTCAAAGTGTCATCGCTGTCTGGGCGAGCCACATCCCACAGGTGTAGCCCTTCATCATGAGTCAGACAAAGCAGCTGGTCAAGATATTTGCCTGTTAATATAAGGGAAAAAAAAGATAGTTTAGGGTTCTGGGGAGTACAAATATGTTGATATCTAACATGATTTCAAATCGACTAGATGTTTTTTTTTTTTTGTTAAATCTTAATAAAATTAAAATAGCTAATATGAATATACAAAGGCAATTTATATTTAAATCTTAAAGCAATACATGAAGAGTTCAGATGCAAAAGCCTCTAAGTGCCATTTGAAATTTTCTTCTAAAATGATCATTTTTATCAAACTTGTATATTTAAGTTCAGTAATTTCACTTAAATGGCAATGAAGATTACCTATTAATTGTCATTTAAGTGAAATTACTGAACTTAAATATACAAGCTTGATAAAAATGGTCATTTTAGAAGAAAATTTCAAATGGCATTTAGAGGCTTTTGCATCTGAACTCTTCACATATATATATATATATATATATATATATATGAAGAGTTCAGATGCAAAAGCCTCTAACTGCCATTTGAAATTTTCTTCTAAAATGATAATTTTTATCAAGCTTATATATTATTTAAGTTCAGTAATTTCACTTAAATGACAATGAAGATTACCTATGAATTGCTATTTAAGTGAAATTACCAACATGACATCATGACTTTTGAACTTAAATATACAAGCTTGATAAAAATGATCATTCTAGAAGAAAATTTCAAATGGCACTTAGAGGCTTTTGCATCTGAACTCTTCATATATATATATATAGTAATATATATATATATATTTATAGTAATATATACATACATACATATAGACATGCGCGCGGCCACACGCACACACACATGCAGTCATTAGAAAAAGAAAGTACATCCTTTTAAATTCTATGGTTTTGCGTATCAGGACATACAAAATCATCTGGTCATTTTTATTTAACAAAAATAAAGCCAAAATGGAGAAGACATGTGTGACAAAACTAAGTACACTCTATGATTCAGTTGTTTGTAGAGCCACTTTTAGAAGTAATCGTTTTCTGTATGACAGTATCAGTCTCTCACATCGTTCTGGAGGAATTTTTGTCATGAAGATGCGGATAGACGAACCCAAAAGCAGACTGAATGCTCAACACACAATTTATTCAAGACAAAACAGAGAAAACAAAACCCACGAGGGGGCAAAACAGAACTGAAAGGCAATATTCCAAGACTAAGACAATAAAGTAGACTAGGACTGGATTCAGACTTAATGACTAAGAAAAGAAAACAAACAGCTACACAAAGCACAATTAGTATCACAAGATTCAGACGACGTTAATGTTTGACAATGACACAGACTAAGACCAGAAGAACTGCGGCAACGTCTCGAAGGTAGTGCCTGCCTGGCCCTGCAAAGCAACAGTACTGTGAAAAAGCACTTGTGTAAAAATGCTGTAAATGAGAATGTTTTCAAAAATAATGTCATAATCATAAATAGATTTTATTTATCAATTCATTTTATTAGTTAACCATTATTAACTGTTATTAACTTTTAACAGTTAACTAAATCAAATCAATAGGCGTTTAGTATACCCTTTACGTTTAAAACAGCTTTTGTCCAGGTATTGCACATAGTTTTTAGTTTTGCAGGTTTTTTCAAGCGTCTTTGGAAACGTTGCCGCAGTTCTTCTGGTCTTAGTCTCTGTTTTTTTCTGTTTCTTCATATAATTTCAGATGCACTCGATGATGGTGAGATCCGACCTCCGTGTGGAGCATTGGCTGTTGTCAGAATCCTTGTGCATTAAAAAATTTCACTGGATTATTACAATTAATGTCTGGAAATGTAAACTGATTTTTCCTACTGAGACACTACAACAAAATATATAAATAACTGGCTTAAAACCATTTCTTTGAGGCGAAAATACTAGTGTGCCTAAGACTTCTGCACAGTACTGTATGTATTTTGGATCATTTTTAACCCAAAAAAGCATGACTGGAGCTTTAAGGGACAAATTAATTGACTACAGAGTGACTTTAAACAAACCATGTCAGTGTCATGTGTTGTTGTTCATCTGAGGTTGTATTTACCTAATTTTAAGACCTGCCAAGGGCCAAATTATATTTTTATTATGTCCTGATATGTAAAACCATAGAATTCAAAAAGAGTGTACTTTCTTTTTCACATGACTGTAAAAATAAAAAAAAATAAAAAAAGAACATTAAACAAGAAAATTCATACTACAGCTATTTTACACCATACCTAATATAGAAAAAAAAAAACATCCTATATTATTTTAATTAATATTCCACAGTCTAAAAATGTCACAGACAAAAAAAAAAATAATAATTCCAGGCCTGGTTATCACAGTTTAACAACTAAACATAAAGAGTTTAGTTAAAAACATAAATATTATATATTAATTAATATTTAATATTAATATTAATTATTATTATTATTATTATATTAAAAAATGTTTTACAGGCCTGGTCATCACAATTTAACAGCTAAGCATACCGTGAAAACTAAATTCTATATAAACTATTATTTAATAATAATAATTGAATAATACATACAAAATTTTTATAATAAATGTGTTTTACAGGCCTGATCATCACAAGTTAAAAATTCTATTAATTTCCATGATCAAGAGAATTCTGTCTACAAAATTATCGCTCAGTCAGGTGTGCTGTTACTACCTACCTGTCCAGCAGAGGGAGCTTACAGTGGATTCACAGTTACAGGTGGTGACAAGAGCGTCATCCTCTCCACCCAGACTCAGATCAAACACGTTCACAAGTCCATCTGTGGCCCCTGAAGCCAAACGCTCCGCTTGCTGTGGGTGGAACTTAACCGCAGTGATGTCATCACTGTGCGATTCTGAGTAAACTCCCAGCAGACCGCCCATCTTAGAGCCTGACTCACCTCCATCCTGAACCATACGGGCATCCCAAAATACTAAAAAACTCTCCTCCTCTATCTGCTCTGTGCCTGCGCACAGCACACGGTCACTACAGCTCACGTCAAATGAGCAGTACGAATGTGTCGAATCACTGCGAAACACCTGGGTGGCATTAGAACCAGGCTGCCGGACGTCCCAGCACCGCACTGTCCCATCGGCGGAGCCGGTGAACAGCAGGTGAGGGGACAGATGAGAGAAACGGACCCCACACAGAGGAGCCGTGTGACCCAGGAACTCTCCCATCAGGCGGAGCGTTTCTCTGCTGTGCAGGTGCACAGAGTAACTGGAGCAGCACACAGCCAGCAAATCTGACCCACTGGATGCAAGAGAGAGGTCTAGAATGTACGTGGCCTCAGTGGGCTCCAATCTCCTGGCGATGGAGAGACTCCTGAAGGTGTCCTCGAGGGCGTCCATGATTGTCACCAAACAGCCTGACATGTTACAGGAAAAGAGTACCTCGTCATTTCATTGAAGCCTTTATCCAGTGGCATAAAGCAGAGGTTCTCTACTGGTTAGCGAACTATTGGCGATTGAAAACAATAAATGTACATTTTTTTATTGTTTTGTGAATGAGAAATAATTTAAAGCAACGATACAGATCATGTGAATATTATTATATTTAAATGTTTACTTTTAAATCTGGGTCCTGTAGTAAAACCAATTGAGAACCACTGATTTACTGTATTTATTACAAGGACAATCAACTGAAGCAAGTTTTAAAAATATATATATATTTTAGATGCCACTGACCCCCAAAATATGATCATCCTTGTGCAAGGAACCCCCACTCTAAAATGTAAAAGGCAGCTATATACAGTATATTTTCATGTATAAAGATGTAATTTATATTGTGAAAAATATCATAAATAGGTGTAAAATATTATTTGGAAAATATTTATTCTATTGAATTATTACATAATCAAATGTATTTATTTAGTTTATATTTTTATTTATTTTTAACCCCTGACACCAATTTGAAAATCCTAGATCATAGGCTAATGTTTATAACCCACAATTAGAGCCCGACCGATAAAGGATTTTTAAGGTCGATACCGATATTTGTTGGTTTTAAAATCCGATATTCCGATATATCGGCCGATATTTTATTTTTTTCCACAGAAACGCGCAACAAAGCATTAAAAGATTTCCCTAACATTAGTTATTTGTAGTTATTTATGAGTTTTAACTAAAATAATATGATAATGCATTTTAATAAGAAACTTGTTTCTTTTATTGTCACAACAGAACAGACTGATGATAGTGGCATTAGCTAGCTTTATAGTTAGCTAGTCTATGATGAGCCATAATTTAGCAATGGATAACGTCATACTGCAAATTGTAAAACATACATTTTCAATATAACAGGCCAAGGAGAGATGATACGTCTCATTTCTGTAACTGTCTCGCGCTATTAAAGAAATACTTCAGTCACATTGTTAAAAGTTAAAAGGACAGTGTGTAACTAGCTAATTCTGCTTCACTCTTGGCTTATTTAACAGCAGCAAAACTGGACATGATAGTCACAAATTTTGTCATGCTTATTTGAGTTAAGAGAACTGATGGGGTTGTTACATATGTCTCGTGACCAACTCAACGAGTTTTGCAAACAGAGATGGTGTAGAGTGCCCTCTGGTGGACAAACTATACAACTCCAACACTTATGACATGGTTCAATCGTGTTTCGTCCATTTTTGTTTTATTTTTGAAATATTCATTTATCGGCCATTATAACTGCCGATACCGATAGTTTGGAAAATGCCTAATTTCAGCCGATAATATCGGTCTGGCTCAACCCATAATCTACATTAAATTATACAAATAAATCATCAGAGATTACTAAAACTGACTCAAAAATCTGACTCAAGCCAAGACATTCAACAAGTGATGCAGAATAATTGACAAAATCATAGCTGAGCCATTCCACCGAAAGGGTGACATTTCTGTCCCCAGGAGTCAGGACATTATATGTATAAAAATAATCAAAATGTCCTGCACATTAAACTAACTACAAATTTAAAATGGTTAATTAAAAACATTAATAAAAACTACATAGAACACTAAAAAATAGCATTTTCTGCATATCCCCACTCTCTATCGCTAAACTTTACTATGAAATATGATGATTAAAATCCTTTAGAAATCTTTTTTTAACGAGAAAAGTTTTTTTTAATCTAATATTTTAGATAAAATACAAATTTTAGTCATATCCCCATTTTCACTAAGTCCTGTTACCCTAGCACTCATCCCCCCACTGAAAAACTTATATATTTCACAAGACACATTTTCAACAGGAATTTGCATCATCTGGATCTTCTGAAGGCAATGGAAAGACTAAGGAAATCCTTGAAATTGTAACTATGACTGAGAAGGTCAATCTCAACATACTGTCCCGTTCCCTAAATTATTTCTTAGATTTTAACTTTGTAACTTTTGCTGAGTCACAATAATTTGCTCAGTGTCCTTATGCTATTAGCATGTACGATATGTCATGTATTTGATAAATTTATGCTTAACTTAATCCTGTTACTTTCATTCGTGTTACTAATAAAAGGAGTGAGGTAAAGTAACAGGAGGAAGTAGAGTCCTCTGTTTTGTTGATTTAATACTGTAAATATTAGTTGATATAAAACTATTCACCTGAATTATGAGTTTTAAGGTTGCAATTACTTGTATTGTAGACATTAGCATTAGTTTTACAATGTGAACACCATACTTCCAGGAAGCCAGTCTACCACAAAGTGACTTAAACATATTGTCTTTGTCTGAAGATGGAGAAATCCCATACTATACAGATGCCAGAAACACCCACCTATGGCATGCTGCGCGGGAAGGAGCAAGACACACCCACAACCCTCTATTTTCTCCCTTTTTTTGTCTTAATTTCTCTTTCTCCCTTCCTCTCTTCTTCTCTCTCCTTTTTTTCTCTTTCCACCGCTGAAGTACTACTGAAGTACTACTAGCACATAGTAAATCACTTCAACAGAAATCTTATGCACAAAGTCATGTACACTCTCTCTCAAACACACACACACACACACACACACACACACACACACACGCACATACAGACACTCATTCCTGCTACCCAATGTTCATTCCTGTTATCAAGTATTTTATTCCCATTTACTATTTTTTTTTTCTTCTAAAAAAATCATGTTAAACCACTGTTTTATCAGTTTTGTTTGGTCCATCATTTATACAATGGTTTAATACATTCAATTATTTAAATAAAATTATTAACTTGAGCCTTCGGTCTCCTTTAAAATGAAAAAAAAAAAATGGCTTTCAGTTTTTTTAAAACACATTAAAATACTTTTGATTAAAATACACCTTGCCTTAATATATAGGGATTTTTTGCCACAAATATCAATTATTTGAATTTATTTAAAATAAACACTTTCTTCTTGTGGAGAAAACAAAAGAATTCATGCTATTTAAATGGCACATGAGTTTCGGTAACAGGACTGAGAAAACATGCGTCAATCTTCTACTTAGAAACCTTGTAAAAAAAAAATAACTAAAGTTGCCTGAGATTGACCAATGCATATTTTGAATAGTTACATATGAGTAGTATTAGATTCAGTGTTTTTTTTTTTTTTTTTTTTTTTTTTTAAAGGTGCGTTCCATTCGACAGGGTCCCTACGCAGTGTTCACTGCTCCCTACTCCCTGAACACGGTATATCAGTTGAAGTGGACTTCACTGACTTCCTGTTAAGTTCCTGTATCGATGTTCCCTTATGGGCTATATGCACGCATAAGTTCCGCATTTGACATAAGGATGCTCGTCCATTTCCGGTTGTGTAGATTAAAGCGGAGGAAAACCGGAGAAAACGGGATTATGGCAGAGTCTTCAATATTTATTGTCCTCCCGTCTTTGAAACGAAACGTACATACGTTTAGATGTAATTTTATATATAGTTATGTTTATTTAATATAATTTTAAAAAGAAGCATAAACACAACGAGGGGTGTCTGTTTTATCTGTTTTTGTGACTAACGTTTCATTAGTATAACCATGGAGTATAAAATTCAATATAAATTCTCGGTATTGCATTGGACTCTATGATCGGCGGAAGTTATCGAGCATCCTTAATCCTTCACCGGCAATAACGCCGTGCATAGAGCCCATTCCCTATGCCGTTTGCAGTGCCCTTCGAACTGAACATGTTCGTTCCCTTCGAATTGGAATCTCACTTAAGATGGCGAAATACCTGTGAAGTCCATTTCGCAGTCCAATTACGGTCGAATGGAACGCACGTTTCTTTTGAAGTGTTGCAACAAGCAAATGTCACCCATTCGGTGGAATAGCTCAGCTAACGTTAGTTTCTAACATGACAGCCAAAGAGATGAATGCGACCGTTCCATTACATACTTAAAACACATATATGTAATTAGTAAGGTAGTAAAAACCTTTCTCTTTTAATTAAAATATAAAACAAAAATTACAGTACAAAACACTCACATGTGAATTGTTATTGAACGGCCATCAGTGTGTCACCTCCTCAGCTGCTCCCGGAAACACAGTGACGCATAACATTAGTTCCGCGGACACAATTTACGATAAACAGGCTTAATTTGTTTAAAACTAAAATATCTGTAATTCATTTTTTATGTATACATATGAGACACGATGACATTAGTATTTGCATTCGTGTCTAATGTAAGAAGAGGTAAGAAACAGACTTGAGCGCTTGAGCCGCCACCTGATGGCAGTGTTTCTCTGTATTATAAAATTGTATTACGCAAATATTGTACAGCATATATCATGTTTAAAATTTAAATTTGTCTTTTCAATTACATATATTCATGGAAATGTTCAATTTGTTTTGTATATCATGTCAAAGAAAATTGTGCCTATTATAGAAAATTACAGTTACTAGGCCTACTACTGTCGAAAACTGGTGGAGAAGATCTGACTGGATTTAATAACTAGGACATATTGTAGTCTAGTAGGAAATAGAGTATAATTTTGATTATGGTATCATTGTGTTGAGAAATGAGTATGCTTTTCCCTTTGTCCGCCCGTCGCCTTTGTTAAACTCCCAAAAGGATACAAAGCAGGAATGAAACTTGAGATCTGAAACTACAATTAGCATTGTCATGAGATAGAAAAACTGAAGTGCTTTGCTGACTGAAGCAGTACAGCAAGCCAATGCTGACCTTTATGATCATATTTCCAAAAGATCCTGTTCTTTATGCCTGTTTAGGGCACATGAAAGTCCTTTATAACATGAGATAGGCTAGTTAAAGCTAAACCCTTTGAGCTCCAAAGTTTGTGAGTGTGTGTGTAAGATATTCTTGTTATCAAGGGTGAACATATTTTGATTACCAAAAACCAGGACACTCGGCATGGCAAACAGATACTCAAATGATATTCAAAGTTTACTCAAAGATGCCTTATTCATTTCAATACATTTAAAGTATGGTCTATGCCTGCTCTATGGATAGAAAATTGTTATTACAAGACACAAATTCAGATAGGCTTCTCAGAGGTTACTCATGAGAATGTTTTATTATGACAGGTTTCAAAAAAAAATGAATGAAATAAATAATGTATCTACTGTATTAGAAAAATAAATATATAAAAATAGAACTAAAAGAAATACCTCCAAATTGAACAAAAATAGCTCTCACAAACTTACAAAAATATATTTATATCTTTAATTTTCTTCCTCTTTAATCTGTTTTTCTTCCTCATACTCTTTATTTGCCCATCTATATTTTGCTTTCCCAGCAGTTTTTTGACAACCAGGACATTTTCATCACAGCCAGGACGGTCAGGACAGGCCGTGAAAACAGGACATGTCCTGGGAAAACAGGACTGTTGGTCACCCTACTGTTATCTCCATTGAGTGTATTTGTTGCTGAATGCATGATTAGTGTGGCGAACCGGACTAGGTCGAGGGTGACATGAGAGTACGGCACGAGGCCGGTGACGTGATTAATGATGAACGACGACACCTCGTATCTCTCACGTCCCTTGACCTCGTCCTGCTCGCCACAATTAGCAAAGAGAGGTGTGTATTGTGGAGAGTATAGTGTGTGCTGAGTAGGCACACACACACACACACAGACACCTGTGTCAACAAGCTAAGCAAAAACAACCAGTCTTTAACCCTATAAAGCCTATGTATTAAACTTGATGCATGATTTTGTTTGATACATGTCCTCTAAATTATCAACATGATATATATATATATATATATATATATATATATATGCATGCCGTGAAATCTTTAAAGTAATCGTAAAAATAACCTGTATATTGTTAAAAATTCACTTACATTTCATCTAAAAATAACTGGGAGATATAAAGTGACAACTTTATATTTATATGCATTTAAGTAATCTGCTAAAGATCACATTGATATACATTACAAGCTATCAGAATTTCAACTTCAGTTTGACTTTGAGCCTCTAAATAAAACTATTTTTCCTCAAGTATGAACTCCATATTGTCACTGAATATATCAGACTGTCTGAGCCACAAAATCCTGTTTAGATTTAGATTTAGATCCTGTTAGATTTTGTGGAAACTCATCTGAAATAGTGTACAATCTACTGATCGGCATGTGCTTTATTAGCATTTTGAATTAACACAAATACATTTTACTAATATATCAACATAGTTAAACCGTGAATAGTGTAAGAGATGTTTTTTTTTTTTTTTGTAATCTGACCTGCAAAGGCAAATCTCAGGCTAAAACATGCTCACACATGTTCATTAATATTTCAGACATTACAGAGAGCATATTCATCTCAGCAGGAACATTCAAACGCCCTGCTTATTAAACCCAGTCCAGTCATATAATTCTGTCAAGATTTTAATATTTTCTTTATTTTTTTCTCTTTAAAAACAGATAAAACTAAATTTGCTTTTGATTGAACATGTATTAAATGCAATCAAAGATCATCAGATAACTGCTATGAATGCATTGAACAGAGCTTCTATAACAAGCCATTTTATGAACATAAGCCACAGGTCACCTTATAACACTGAATTCATGGTCATTTGTGCATTGCATTTTTAGCCTTGTGGGAGTGTGATTCTTCCAGTGTCAAGCGCTGGGTGAAGGTCAGCTGATTTTTATTAGGTCTGAACGTTCAGTCCGAGATTTAAATTTAGGGTATTTTTTACTATTTTAGGTTTTACAACAGCCTATATGAGAATTTAACAATATCAGAATGCCTCTAACAATATTTAAAGATGGCATTCATATTTTTAGATTAAAAAAAAGATTAACATGACAGGAAGAATCAGGGCTCCAGAAACAACCATTTAAACAAACACACATAGTATCCAAAGCTTCTGAGACACATTTGGTAAGACTTCAAACATTTTAAACAATTCTGCTCAGTGATTTTACAAAGAATTAAACATCTAAAAGAAATTGGGAGGATGTCTGTTGAAATGTAATGCATTCCTGAAATGGGTATGATGGCAAACTGAACACCAGTGAGTATAACTGACACATTATTTAACCTGCAGCTTTTTGCTGAATTCCACATTTGAATTAGCATTCTTAGTCTAAAAATTAGATTTTTATATAATTAACAAAAACATATAATAAGAACACTAGATGAAACAGGATGGACAGAGCAGCAATCTGTCATTTAAATTTGGAACATCCCACTTTATCTAAAAAGTTTTCCACATTCTCTGTTCAGTTGAAAGAAAGAACAATGAAAAACAAAACAGCTGGGAATAATAGCAGAGATTTACATAAAAGGCACTGTGTGGTATCTAAATCAGATCTGTTTATTCAGAATAACCAGAGAAATCCAAGGAAATAAAGCACTTTTAAATGAGAGCTTCGCCACTGGATCAGTTTCTCAGGAAGCTCAATCTAGGTCATGACAGGACCACACGGATTCTGCTGTTTTTTTCTGCATTTGGTGCTGATTATAGGGCAATTTTCTAATTTAGACATAGTAAAATTAGTTAAACCGACCTGAGAGCACTACTTTTCAGTAGTTGAATCTATGGAAGCTTGTTTCCGCCACTGAATTAAAAAAAAAATAATAATAATTGCGACTTTTTAACTCACAATTGCGAGAAATGAAGTCAGAATTGTGAGAAATAAAGTTGCAATTGCGTGATATAAAGTCAGAATTGCGAGATATAAAGTAGCAATTCTGAGAAAAAAAAAGAAAGTGCGACTTTTTATCTCACAATTGCGAGTTTACATCTCGCAATTCTGACTTTATAAGACATAATTGCGAGTTTATATGTCTAAATTCTGACATCTTTTCTCAGAATTGTGAGATATAAACTTGCAATTGCAACTTATCAGGCTAATTCTAAGGGGAAACAATGACTAACTTTTTCCCCCCTCAGAATAGTTAAATCTTACAATTCTGACTATATATCACGCAATTGCAACTTAATATCTCACAATTCTGAGTTTATATCTAGCAATTCTGACTTTATATCTCACAATTGCAACTTTATATCTCGCAATTGCAACTTTATATGACACAATTCTGAGTTTATATCTTGCAATTGCGACTTTATATCACCCAATTCTGACTTTACATCTCGCAATTCTGAGAAATGAAGTCAGAATTGCGAGATGTAAAGTCGCAATTGTGAGGAAAAAAAGTCTGAATTGTGAGATAAAAAGTCGCAATTACCTTTTTTATTTTTCATTCTGTGGCGGAAACAAGCTTCCATATGAATCTCTATCAAATTATATTAAAAATTATTACAAAACATTAAATAAACTAACAAGAAAGAGGATGCATAGAGATTTGTGAATGATATTCAAACCAATGTTTTGATACTGGAAAAATTACCCCCCTTATGGATTTACAGAAAGTATTTATATTTGGTGATAAACACATTACATAGGCCTGAGAGAGAGAAATGCTACAGTCGAACTACTTCAATCCACAAACACAAAGACTTCATCAGAAAAAATCACTCAGAAAGAGTCGAAACTAGAACAATTGGTCTAGAAAGCAATGCTCCTCAATGACCACCTTCTCATATTCTGGCCTAAACCCAACCTCCGTCCTTTGTCTCTGAAATATAACCTCCACCCTTCGAATGATTGAGATCTACATTGTTCTAGGTGAAGAGTCAAAGGTCAACATTGCTCTCCGGCCGCACTTGGTGGAATCACTTGGGTGTGGGTGGGTTTTCTCATTATTCAGAGAATCCAAAACAATCCTGTTTACAGAAGTGAGGATTTGGGAAGCCACCTTCTCTTTCAGTAGAAAAAGGAACGAACTTGCACTTGAACAAAGACACAAAAGGCCACAGGAAGAATAAAACACAGCAGTGTCACACAAGCCTGACCTATTATCCTAGCGACAACAGCAGGCAGCAGAGCAGTGCAATCTGGGAACAGTGCATTTAAATCAGTACCACAAATTCACCTTAACTACACATTAAACTACCTTGACTAGAAGGCAGTTTGAATTATTCACAGGTTTAGTAGCAAACCTGACATTTCCTTGCATTTCAACCTGACTGAAAACACAGCTAAATGCTAGGGAAAGCATCGCTGATTTTCAGTGCAAAAAAAGAAGAAGAAAAAAAAGGGAATAAAACTATACGAGATATAAAAAGATCAAGAATAATTCTTATTAAGAGCCAGACATGTATTCAATCTAAGAATATAAATGTTAAACTGATTTAATATTTAACATTTTTCAGAGTAAATCACTAGTGCATCAACTTTTAATGCCTAGAGAGAAACTGGTTCTTAAGTGGTCAGTTCAAAGGATTGTTCACCCAAAAATGAAAATTCGATCATTAATTATTTACACTTGTATGATTTTGTTTATATAATATTTTGAGGAACATTGGAAACTAAATAACATTAGAGCCCTTTGAATTCCATTATATACACAAAAACACAGACATTTCTCAATTCCTTCTTCTGTGCTCCATGAGGGAAAGTCAATGACGACAGAATTTGTAATTTTTGTGTGAACAAGCCCATTAAGGCATCTATCATTATAAAAGTCTTCAGAGAAATAGTCCAACCTGCTTTCGATTCGAAACTAAACTGCAACAAAAGTACAACAAAAACCAACGCTGCACCCAACCGCTAATCATCATGTTTGGGTGTGATTTTTCAGATTTTATATTGCAAACAAGAAATAAAAGCTGACATCAGCTTCAGGCGATCCATCACAGAGATTTGCATGAGTCGCGCATTCGCAAGAAAGATTTCAGTCAACTCTTGATGCAAGAGTTTGAGTCGTCCCACTGTGGCGTGAACAAACCTCATCAAAAGTCAATGTCATCCTAAGTTTATGATAAGAAGCAGAACTGCTGTATTGCTTGAGAAAATATAACAAACCCTATAGAGTAGAAATGTTTACAATCAGATTCTAGATGAGAATAGACATGCTACTGTACTTTACATGCAACTGCTTAGAAAAGGGCCATGATCTCTAAAATCAACAAACACTTGGTTTTTTTGGAATAGAAAATTTGCTAAAACTACAGTATAAATGATGGAAAACATATCTGAGGAACATTTGGAAGGTGCAGCACAGTGTTACAGGCTTTAGTTCCATCCAATCATTGATTTGAAGGGAAAGGCCTCTGCAGTCCGACTAGGCTCTTATTGGCCGAAATGATGGATGGTTATTTTACCCAATCACAACAGACCCATTTGTATAAATAGGAAAGGCACAAGGAAATGTGCATTTAAGCCCACAGTTCCATAGACGATATAACGATATGGCAATTCCACCTCCATGTGCTGCCTGGCCTTCCGAACGTCGCCACTGGGAATCCCAAAGAGCCAGCAGACGAGCGGGATGGTGAGAGCCTTCATTACGGCTCTGGTCGCCAGGAGAATGAGGACGCCCAGGACGAAGCGGAGTAGACAGAGAGCGATCAGGCTGAGGGTGATGGATGGGGGCTGTAGAGGTAACATCGATGCAGTTGGGTCTGGCAACAGGCCCAAATGGTAGTTGATGTGGGATGCCAAGGCGATACCTGCACCAGAGCCCAGGATTTGGGCGGTGTCGCCGCGTGATGTGCTCCAGGTGTCCAAGGTGAAGGAGAAGAGACCCAGACCCACGTGAAGAGAGATGATGATTAGCGGGGCGTAGCGATGGGTGCGGTTGAAGGTGTCGATGATCTCCAGAGCAGGACTGAAGACCACTACGATCAGCAAACTGTACAGGAAACCGGCAATGATGTCCTGAAGACAAATACAATAACGTCAAACCACAGAAATAAAAAGAAAACACAGGTGAAGGTGCAGAGCAGAGAAAAAAAAAAACTAAAAAAAAAATTACATTTAAAAGAGGCTGACAGAGAAATGTACAAATTTGACTAATACTTTTTTCACATGTAAATCTATAGAGGGGGTAAGACCTAATAATAAACTTATTCATTCTAAAAACATTGCCATAAACAAGACAAAACAAATATGGCAGGTGCAAAGAACAAAAAAGGAACAATACAACAGGTAAACTTGTTTAAACCAACACAAATGTTTGAAGCCAAAATGTGGTCAGATTTGACCAATATGTAAAAGACAGCAGAAAGGCTGAATAGAAATGCAAATTCACTCCCTTACAGTAGGTGGTGCTTTTAGAAAAGCAGAAGTAACAGCAGCGGCTCTGGGTATGTGCCCGAAAACGCACATCTTATTGGCCGGCCAATGGAAAAAAGATTAGAATACCTCTGCTGATGATGTAAATCTGTCACATTGACTGCATGCAAATGTTCATGTTGGTCTGACTCTGAACAGATGCATTAACAACCGTTCATTTAAGTAAAAATTCTTATAGCACTGAATATTCACCCAGTGTGAACGCACGCATACTGAGACCGTAAGACGTTGATCTCATGGATTTATAAACGTATAGAAAAGAAATACTTAAATTTGAAGTTCTCTTAATTGAAACGGATGACAAGCTTTTGCTTGAATATGAACATTCAGTCAGTACCTAAAAAGTATCAAACTCAATTACCAGCCCTATTAGTCATCTTTGCTTTATTTTTTTTTCCAAACTTTATTTCGCTTGGCTTCTGCTGTTAAAAAAACATCAACTCTTGCATTGCATGTTTGGACATTTTGGGGCAAGTGCAATGAAGGGAGGGGTGTGTTTGGGTTGATTTCAAATATAAACAGTTTTTCTCAGAAATCGCTTACTGCACCTTCAAAACATCATGAATATGACACATTTTAACTACCTGTGTGTCCATTCACTCTGCCCTTCAGTGACTCACAAACACACATTATTCCTAACCCAACTCCTACCTCCTAAACCCTAACCTCAAAACTGACCTTTCAGAATTTGTAGATGTTAAAATAGAAATCATTTCAGTCCCTTTATTAAGCCGTTTTCCTAATGGACCCCAAGTACAGTACATTTGTCTGGATGCTTTCAAAGTACGGTCTGTTCATAAGGACTGAAACATCGCCTTCATGAGTAACAACTCGCCTCTTTCTTTAATCTATCAGTCATTAACCATGATGGGCTCACTTTCCACATCTGTTGTGGAACATAGGTTCACAGCTCTCACAAATACACTCACCTAAAGGATTATTAGGGACACCTGTTCAATTTCTCAATGCAATTATCTAATCAACCAATAATATGGCAGTTGCTTCAATGAATTTAGGGGTGTGGTGGTCCTGACAATCTCCTGAACACCAAACTGAATGTCAGAATGGGAAAGAAAAGTGATTTTAGCAATTTTGAGCATGGCATGGTTTGTTGGTGCCAGACGGGCCGGTCTGAGTGTTTCACAATCTGCTCAGTTACTGGGATTTTTACACACAACAATTTCTAGCAAAGAATGGTTTGAAAAGGGAAAAACATCCAATATGTGGCAGTCCTGTGGTCGAAAATGCCTTGTTGATGCTAGAGGTCAGAGGAGAATGGGCCGAATGCTTCAAGCTGATAGAAGAGCAACTTTGACTGAAATAACCACTCGTTACAATCGAGGTATGCAGCAAAGCATTTGTGAAGCCACAATACACAACCTTGAGGCGGATGGGCTACAACAGAACAAGACCCCACCGGGTACCACTCATCTCCTCTATAAATAGGAAAAAGAGGCAACAAAAGCTCACCAAAATTTACAGTTGAAGACTGGAAAAATGTTGCCTGGTCTGATGAGTCTCGATTTCGGCTGAGACGTTCAGATGGTAGAGTCAGAATTTGGCGTAAACAGAATGAGAATATAGATCCATCATGCCTTGTTACCACTGTGCAGGCTGGTGGTGGTGGTGTAATGGGGGGATGTTTTCTTGGCACACTTTAGGCCCCTTAGCACCAATTGGGCATCATTTAAATGCCACGGCCTAATGGAGCATTGTTTCTGACCATGTCCATCCCTTTATGGCCACCATGTACCCATCCTCTGATGGCTACTTCCAGCAGGATAATTTCAAATTGGTTTCTTGAACATGATAATGAGTTCACTGTACTAAAACGGCCCCCACAGTCACCAGATCTCAACCCAATAGAGCATCTTTGGGATGTGGTGGAACGGGAGCTTCGTGCCCTGGATGTGATCCCACAAATCTCCATCAACAGCAAGATGCTATCCTATCAATTTTGGCCAACATTTCTAAAGAATGCTTTCAGCACCTTGTTGAATCAATGCCATGAAGAATTAAGGCAGTTCTGAAGGCGAAAGGGGGTCAAACACAGTATTAGTATGATGTTCCTAATAATCATTCAGGTGAGTATACGTGTACTTGTAAGTGGGACTGAGATATCCTATCTGTCTTTAGTCCTAGTGATTCTTTTTATCGGTCAAAATGTGAATCCGTGTCGACCGTCAGATGTGTGGCATAACTTTCAGCAAGCCATATTTGTGCAAGCAAACACACCATAAAACCAAGAAAAGGGCTACAATTACATTACATTTTAAAACGTATAGATGATTTTGTGATTGATTAGCAACATAATCAAGATAAAAATATTTTAATAAGCATTTATTTGCCTATATCATTTCCCAAAGCGTGTGAGATCTGACAAGTTTCACAATCCCTTCTTGTCTATGATAATGTTTAAACAATCTCATGTTTCCATGGGAACAATCTCTAGGGCAACGGCCATTTATCCCCCCAACAGTTCAACCAGACAGATGAGGTCACCCTGAGGGCAACATTACCGCTTAGAGCAGACATGGTGCAGGAACAGGAAAAACCATGTCATCCAGACAGACAGACAACTCGCCAAAAGATTAAATCATTCAGTGAAATTACACCATTGATCACTGTAATAAGATGTCACACTTAAAACATCACCAATGGGATTTACAGTGTCTGAACATGCATGTTTATAATGGATGGGAGTTATGGGGCAGCATCAGGCAACATGAGACATAAACAGATAGATATAATTATATCAGGCTGCTAAGTCTATTCCAGTAACCTAAGGTCACAAAAACACACTTATTATTCAAATCATATGTTATCTTCCTTCAAAATGACAAAAGGTTCAGCAAAGGGATACTGAAATGACCTGCATTCACACTAAAAGAAAGATGAGTAAAGATAAAGAAGATACACCAAGAGTTTATGTTTTTTCCCAGCATGACTGCCTTAGGTGAACACGCACACAAAAGAATAATACACATGCCCTATGAGAAACCTCATTACGTTGCCTGGCCTTTATGGCGTCATTTACACTGCAGGTCTTGATGCCCAATTCTAATTTGTTGCTTATATCCAATTTTTTTAAACTGTCTGTTTACACGTTATTTAAATTGTGACCCATATCCGATTCATGCGTTTACACTTGCCATATAGGCTACTATCTGAAACATATCGCGCATGCTTAAAGGGTTAAATTATCTTGCACAGATGGACGAACACGAAATATGCTTCATGCTCTGCAATATGTGAAGTTGCAAAACACCATTTTCGAATAAGAAACAATGTCTATAAAACTCGTTAAAACTCCACAAATCACACACGTATCGGTGAGAACACTCGTTAAAATAGCATACACACCCGAACTTGACTGCACTTCACATTTTTTACATTATTGATGATACTACTTTCATTCGTAATGCAACGGACTGATCTACGGGACATTAAGCCTTAAAATAAAGGAGTTATTGGGCTATTCACTGTTATACAATAAAGAGCCTGCACTGAGACAGCAAATAGAACTGAACACAAAAAAAAACTGCCTAGAGTAGAGCCTGTACTTACACAACACTGACAGTGGAGTTGCGCTCAGGAGTAGAGCAGGTGTGGACGATTCTCTTTTTCTTTTTTGATCGGCTGCGGATTAATTCTTTCTATGCACAAACAATGATGTCACACTCGCGTATGTTTTAAAAATATAATTGAGCATGTTAATAGTCCTAGAACATTTAAAATAGCCCACTTAAAGTGTTTATTACAAATAAATTACTAAATGCTAAAAATAAATGTAAATTAACAATTGACACATTCACAATCCTGTGAAAACACTTCCCATGCCCGTCCACATTCATCTCCTATGACACAACGTTTTGTCGGCCATCCGTCCCTTTGCAGAAGCGCGTCGGGGGTTTCTCTCGTCATTAAACCGTGGAGACGTCGCCTAATGCCTGAGAAAATCCGATCTGCCTGTTTACAGTGACGGTCGCATTGGACCATATCCGATTTATTTCCACATATGAATGAGGCCTGAAAACGATCTGGAAATATCAGAATGCATGTGTTTTGTTCCTGTTTACACTGTCATAGAACACATCCGATCTGTCACATTTGAGCAAAAAAAAATAAAAATTAAAAAATTAAAAAATTAAAAAAAAATCGGAATTGGGTCACATTTCACTGACAGTGTAACAAGGCCTATGAAAGCAGCAGTCTTTTTAAAGGGGTGGTTCATTATTATTTCACTTTTCTAACTAGAGTTAGTGTGTAATGCTGCTGTTTGAGCATTAACATCTGTAAAAGTTGAAAGTTCAAAGCAAGATGTTTGCTTTTAAGGAAATAGTTTAAGGACCACAACAAACGGGTGGTAGGGACTACACGAAATTCCCCTAAAATTTACATAATCCCTGGCAGTCCATATTGAAAAGAGGCGAGTTGTAGTAGAGCACATTTGTGAGTCTTCTCAAGCTGTCGAATCCATCTTTTCACATGCAATACAGTACGCAACACAAATGCAATAGCATGTCACTCTGTAGGCATCTTACTACAGTTCCCACACGAGTGATGTAATAGATTATCATGACATAATATGCTAATTGATGAACTATCTTCAACTAACCATTCAGAAACGTCCTGTTGCATTCTACAGTACACGTTGTCACTTATTGAGTCTTTCCACCATTGTCTGACTTCGGAGCTGCTAACACACGCCAGCTCTTGAAGCTCCGCCCTGTGCCAGGATCAGCAGCTCATTTGCATTTAAAGGGACACGCACGAAACAACGCGTTTTTACTGACCCTCAAAAACTCTGAGGACAACAGAGACTTATTTTACATATTGTAAAAAGGTGCATTATACCACCCCTTTATTGTTTTGCCTGATAACTCATAAATAGAATAGGCTATTGAAATATGCTAATTTACTAAAATAAACAAACACACACACACATACATACATATATATATATATATATATATACATTTATATTTAACCCTCTTATTAAACTAAACTAATGTTTTCAGGGCTGGACTCACAATGAATAAAATCATAATGAATTTATAATTAACCCTCTTATTAAACTAAACTAAGGCTTGGAAATCTCACCCAGGCCATCCCACACACCCACAACAATTTTGAAACCACAGACAACCCTTTTTTTGTATGGCTATTACTTAAAAGAAAATAAGTCTAAATCCTAAGGTTGGGAGTGTGCTAAATTATCCAAGGTTCTCCCTTGAACCGCACATTCACTAAAATGTTTAACTTGACCCCACTTATGTGTCCATTAAACAATAATCTACTGGCCTGCAGAAAGGTTTTAAAATTAAATGTTCTCATAAAAACAAAGGTCACATCAGCACCCAGTTTGCACGTCTAAATTAGTTGTATACATTCTAAAAATAGCTAAAAACAACAGCATAAAAAGCCTTTTTAATTAACAAAGGTCCATGTTTAATACAAATGTACACAAAACTTATTGAAATATGTTTAGTGAAATTAGAAAATATTTAAAAGAGCGTTAATTTAGTTGTGTACATGCATGTTCCCATATGTTCCCTTTTTTTGTGATGTCACAACTAATAATCTCAGGGTTTACTGGGTTTTACATGATTATTTTTTTATGTCCGTGGAGACTCGCGCTGCGGAGGCAGGCGGAAGTATAAACAAGGTTTCCATCTCCTCGCGGGTTCAGATATACCTGAAATACATCCACACCGCAGACATGTTGCTTCAGACAAGCACTTGCAGGTCTCGGTTTCTGTTAAACTCATCACAACATTTCGGCCGTATTGTTTCAGTGATAAGTCTTTCCGAATACTCAGTGCATCCCTACAATCTCCACTTTGTTGCAAAACTACCAACTAATTTGTTTAATTTAATTGAGCAACAGATAACAGCAGAGGTAATCGAAATGTCAAAAATATGGTTCAGATTTATCATGCATCCCCAAAAAAACCTACACACTGTGACTTTAAATCTTTAATTATTAAATAAAAATAATGTTTTAATTTTATTTTAATTTGTCTTACCAGTATGGAGTGCATGCCCATGTAAATGCGGCTCAAACACACCAGGAAACACCAGCTGAAGGCCAGGGAGACACCCAGCAGCAGAGGATACTGTGGAAATAAACACACACTTTACTATGAGACAAACAACTTCTGCTAAATTACACAATGAAATTCATCAGAAGTGGTGTAAATGATAACCACTGGTTAGCTCCGAAATTTCTAATGCATTTTTAAAACACAGGTTTCCAATTTAGGGGTAAAACAAAGTCTTTTGTTATAGGAGTAGTTCACTTTAAAAAAAAACTTTTGCTGATAATTTACTCACCCCCATGTCATCCAAGATGTCCATGTCTTTCTTTCTTCAGTCTAAAAGATCTTATGGTTTTTGATGAAAACATTCCAGGATTTTCTCCATATAATGGACTTCAGTGGAAACCAAACGGTTCAAGGTCCAAACGAGAGTTTCAGTGCAGCTTGAAAGGGCATTAAACGACGCCAGACCATGAATAAGGGTCTTATCTAGCGAAATGATCTGTCATTTCAAAAATAAATAAAAAAGTTTAAGTTTTATAAGCACAAATGCTCACCTTGCTCTGTTTTGTGATGAGCGTTTGTGACTCTCCTCCTGTTCGAACTAGTTCATCAAAATTAACAAATCTTTTTTTCGAGTCATGACTCGAAAGGGTCCTAGACAAGACCCTTACTTTGAAGCTGCACTGAAACTCTCATTTGGACCTTGGAACTGTTTGATTCCCAAAGAAGTCCATTGTATGGAGAAAAACCTGGAATGTTTCCATCAAACACCTTAATTTCTTTTCAACCGGAGAAAGAAAGAAGTGGACATCTTGGATGACATGGGGGTGAGAAAACTACTCCTTTAACATTCCATTCACATGATCCACAACATCATTTGCATACTTTCATACCTTAAAGTGAATTTTCAAACTTTTTGAAAAAGACTTAGGTAATGTATAAGCTTGTCCATCAATGTACACAAATTACCAGCAAAGGATAGGACTGATTTGCTTTTATCTTTTTTGGACACACGACTACAGCAGATGGCAGAGGAGAAAGAAGATCTGTCCGTCTCGCTTTCTGTCATTTCTGTGAGTTGTTTTGTTTGTACCAGATGTGTAAAATTTCCTCCGTAACACAATACAACAGTTGCACAGATGGTGTTCTATTAAAGCACGCACACACACGCACACACACACACACACACACACACAATGTCCTCATGTTTTGGCTGTGGGCCCAGTGTCACACTGACACCACAGCTAAGGTTAACCTGCTTTCATGAGGCTGAAGGGTTTCTGTTCTGGATGAGTGTCCATATGTCTCAAGTGTCCATGGTAGTATCAATGTCTATACCATCCTTATCACTTGCTGCATAACACAATGTCATTTGCCCAGCACAGACGGACTCATCCTGTGGTAAAACGGCCAGACAACCATCAAACACTGAAGTCAAACCCTCAGCACAACATAAAACAACCACTTAACTACAATTACCACCCCACAAAGCAAAAGATGGTCAGGCAGATAAAAAGAGAGAGAGCCATAGCCAGCGGGAAACTCTTAAAGGGATAGTTCACCTCAAATTAAAATTCTGTCAGTAATTACTCACCCTCACATTGTTCCAACCCCGTAAGACTTTCGCTCATCTTCGGAAAACACAAATTAAAATATTTTTGATTCAATCTGAAAGCTGTCTCACTTCTCCATAGGGTTAAAACTTCCTGGCCCAGAAAAGTTACAGACATCGTTAAAATAGTCCAACAGACTGTCCTGGGTAACATCAACATACAGGACATTTGAACAAACTCTGTAACTTCTGTAAACTCACTCATAATTATCTATAGCTGGATGTCTAGAATGGCAATAACATTCATTTTACACATTTTTATTCCTTCTACTGTTTAAGATTTTGTGAGTCTCTATTGCGCTACATTTCTTTAACAAAAATACAGTAAAAACAGCAATAATACTGTGAAATGGTATTACAATTTATATTAAATATTTGCAATTTATTCCTCTGATGGCAAAGCTGAATTTTCAGCATCATTCCTCCAATCTTCAGAGTCACATGATCCTTTAGAAATAAGAAACATTTCTCAATATTATCGATGTTGAAAACATTTGCTCCTTAATGTGTTTCGGAAACCAGGTCCATGATCTATTTTTTGAATAGAAAGTTAAAAAGAACAGCATTTATGAGAAACTATATTATATTGTTAATATAATATAATATTATCTTTTGTAACATTTCATTTGTCTTCACAGTCACTTTTGATCAATGTGTCATTGCTGACTAAAAGTATTAATTTCTTAAAAAAAAAACTAAAAAAAGCATACCGACCACAAAGGATTATAATGGCGGTTATAATAAGGTATGTGTTTCCCCTTCTCAGGTTTTCTCAGGTTATTTAAAAAAAATATTTGTATTAAATTGCTGAAACTAGGCTAATAGCTAAAAAGCAACACATTCCAAACAGTCGTGGTTCATTGGGATTATGTCGTCTGTCTGTGTTTGCCGACCTACATCCCTCTCAGAAAGATTACTGCAGTTTAAACACTCAAGCAGAGATTTACATGCACTAACGTCCATGTTTAAACATGTAGAGCGATGGATTTACAGTGAAACCCAAGCTGCCAAGAAAACGACAGCAAATTAAACCTCTGGCTGCTTTAACTCGGAAATTTCCATTCAGTGCAACATCATAAAGGGGAACAGGACATTTCACCCAAGCTCAGTGATATTTTTCCAAACCTTCAAACCTCTAACTTCTGCTTTGCCTTTCAAAATACATACCAACCTAAATGAAAGAGAAAAGGAGAACTCATACAAACAGTTGCGTGCGTCTGCTATGTGAAAATCTCTTCTCAGTCAAAGACAGAGTTTTGTTCACTTAAGTGAAGTATGCAATGTCTGCACCACTAGCATCACAAAACAGAATAGCAAAAATAAGGACTATTTTTGGTCGACAAACAGATAAAAGATAAGATCCATTACAAGAAAAGCATTACACTGCCTACACTATAAAAAATGCTGGGTTGTTTCAACCCAATTTTGGGTAAAATATGGACAAACCCAAACGTTGGGTTAAAAATGTAATTAAAAAAATTAACCCAATGGCTGGGTATGTCCATATTTTTGGACATACCCAGCCAGCATTTTTTAGAGTGTACGCATCAAATAAATGACTAACTTTGAAGATACATTTCAAAGTGAATTCAAAATATGGAGAAGAGTCCCTTGTCTGAATAGTTTTTCCCTGACAGCAGAACATATGAACACATGCTGTAGCACACACCTCTCTGGGGTCATACAGTGTAACTGGGTAAACACTGAGTCAGTCAAGAGATTCAGATGAACATCAGAGACAGAAGGTAGGCAGAAATTGTATTTTGGGTGGGCCAGTGAAAATGTGAGTTTTTCATAGAAAAAATAACTCCAATAATAATTAACCTTAGAGAGTAAAAAAAAATAATAATAATAGGCAAACTGCACAAACAGTTACACCTTTATATTCGGCAAATCATCATGTTCAACCAACAGAGCTCAATAAAGGCTGGACAAACCGGTGTAGACAATAACTTGTCTATTTTATTCAGGCTAGTCAGCAGAGCAAAGACAGTTCACTCGAAAATAAAGTAAGCTAAAATAATAATATCGCAGCAGTTAGATCGGCGGGTAAACCCGTCAGGCTGACCGGGAGAGAGAGAGCAAGAAGCGGCTGCTGCCAGCACCTAAAGCCTTGTTCACACTACATGATTTTAAAATGTCGGGCTGAACTGTGCAGTTCACACTACATGACTTGCTCTCAGTGAAATCATGAGTGTTCAAGTTGTTTAGCTGTTCACACCACACAACACAACGTGATTGATCCACAACAGGAGGTAACTCACTACACGAGTTAACAACGCACTGCATAGAGATACAAGCACGATCGGATGATAAGAGCATCATCATTTGTGACTCAATGAGAGCTGTTTCAGTACTATAGTACGGTCTAAATCCTGAAAATAATCAAACAAATAACGAGTTGACAACAACACGATTCTATCTGGTCTAGAAACCATGTTTTGTCACGAAAAACCACGCAATAAAACGAACCAGAAATGACGCGAAACTGCAGAGAAGAACACAACACGCGAATATGGACGTCAGACAGAAACTAGTGCTGCACACTGTTTGCTCGACGATCTGTTCTAAAGAAAAAAAAAATGCAAAAAAGAAAAGAAAAAGTAAGATTTACCTGGTGTCCTCAACCCATGCGTTGCTATGATTGGCTGTACTCATGACATCACTGAGATTGAGTCTAGCGACTGCTCGAGATATCTAGCATGCTAGATATTTTTCTGAGCTCGGTGACCTGTCTGCGAGGTGTCTGAGAGCTGTCTTTGGTGCGTTGTTGGCTCTTTCACACTAACGGATTGGCGAGCGTTAATCGTCCGCTAATCGCCCGCGATTTGCACGCGATAACACCCTGACTTGTCGGCGACTCAACGATTTGCAAATCGGGCTTAAAATCACGTAGTGTGAACTAGGCTTAACTAGCCTTCTTGGGTTACTGAGTCTGAAGAACTGGGCTGTGTGGACTCAAAAGATGAAGGCAGTGGCTGTCTTCTTTCTCAACTCTTGCTTTGTCCAAAGAGCACATAAAATAAAGTTGTTTAGCCATTTATTTTGGCGCCACCGAGAGTTGGAACCCCCAGCAACCAATAATGTTCCGGAGGGAGGCTTTCTATAACTTGCTTCTATAACAGCTGCAATTTATACGGCAAAATGAATTAAGCACACACAGCAGTCAACAATAAATCAGGTATATATTAATATCTTTTCTTAAACACATTTGAATAATAAAAATAAACTAAAAATGTATTTTTCATCAAACTTGCCTGGGCGGGCCAGTGAGTAATGTGGGCGGGCCAGTGCCGCCCTGGCCCAATACTGGCTACGCCCCTGAGACAGAGACACAACCATTAAAAGAACCAGAGATCTGAACCGCACCTTATGACCTGAGACCACATGACACAAGTGCTGGACCACAAGCTGAACCAACACACAGATCTTTCCCTCCCTTTCATCTGAGCCTCAGCCTAAC